CGCTTTAAATGTAAGCGACATGTGTATAAGAATAAGAAATTCATGTGAAATGTTTAAAGGACAAAGACTCGCACTTTTTATATACCTCTTTACCATGTATTTGGACCTCACGTGAAATACACGTGTTTAATTGAGAAATAAAAGGTTGCGTAGAGTGCTATATAAATAAAGCTTCTAGGTACTTAGAACAAAAATGCCCACCTAGGTTGATATATTGAGATATTATATAAAAAATATATAATACTTGTTTATGTAGTCAACATTCTATATTGTCTAATTTTCCGGTAGTATAAATAAAAAACGTACATATGTACATAGGTACACTATGTATATAAAATGGCGGAATGGAATTTCATTCATAACGCACACAAGCAGGAAATCGCTTGAGTGTAAGTGTAAATATTTGCTTGAGAGTACCATTTTCATGTAAAAAAACTACAAGAGTACTCGTAATCTTGTATATTAATTAGATTTATTATAAATTCCTTTATATTTTTTACCATTGAATTTATCATATGATTATATTAATACTTAAAAGCTTAAAATTATCAAAAATTATACCAATATGAGTAATTTTTGTTAAAAAATAGTGTGCAAAAGTATTCTATATATGCGTGCGTTATGTTGGCTTACTCTTGTTCGTATGAGAAGCACGAACAGATAAGGTAGTGACTAGGTTGTAAAAAGGCTGTGCTTCTTACTGAATACTAATACGCGCTATTACGATGTTTATGTTACATTTTATTGCATTTCCAGTAATTGAGTCATTCTACATTTATCACACTGTTATTATAGTACTTACATATTATAAAGCTATAATAATGAGTGACGTCCTAGCTTATTTATTTATTTATTGTTATTAATTCTTATAATTAATTCACTAGTTTTAAAACTTCTGCATAATTAATGATAAAAGGAAATTTTTACTCATTTGTTTGTCGGTCTGTCCTTCGTAGCCTAAATTGAGAAATAATTCTAAATTTATGAATAAAAACTTGTCTATTTAAACAGTATAATTGAAATTATGTTACATTTGGAATTACAGTTAACAAATTTCAACTGTAATAATTCGATTATTACAGTTGAAAGGTACAGTTATAGAGCTACGTGATAAGCTTCTGATTTAATAAAAATGAAATGTTATTTTAGCTGCTAATTGCATCACTTGAAAACCGCCAAATCGATTTCGCATTTTTTTAAATATTTATATTAGTTTAAAACAGTTTACGGGAAAAAAATTAAAATTTATCCATAACTGTCTGATTTTTGGAAAACTAAGATTTGGTGTGAATTCAAAAATGATAAACTTTATTGAAATTTGGAAAGGAAAACGTCTGAATTAAAAAATAAACTTGTTATAAGAGATATACCTATGTATTTGTATTGTAGCGAAGCGAATATCTAACATAAATAAAAGAAAAATAACTTTGAAAGGTAATTTAACAGAAAAATATAGTCTAAATAAAAATTTTATGTTATTCTTCAAATATAGCAGACTAGTTAGTACTGGATGTTGGTAATACCTACATTAAATTTTATTTAGTTCTAATAATGTTTTTATGTTGATCATGTACTTAACTATTACTAACATACTATTAAATATACCTATTGTAATTTTCTTGTCATACATACATTAAAAACAAAGAAATTTACTGTAGAAAAATAAAAAAAATGTATAGAAAACAGAAAATTTTATTTTAATTTTGTAAAATAAATACAACTAGAATCCTTAAACGACATTTTGCGAAAACGAAACAAATGCAACAATCATTACAACTAACTTAATTAATTAAATAAATAATTTTATTTATCTAAAATACTTTGTACGATTACCATATACGATGCTAATGTTTATATACAATTTCTGAATTATACTAATAATCTCACTTTGGTAAACTGTGGTTAATAAGTTGTCGTTTAATATATTAACAACATAAATTAAAAAAAACACTGTAGTTGCAAATTAAGGAAAACGAATTTGTTTAGTACTGTATGTAAAAGTTACGACGAAAAAGTAAAAGTCAATAAATATTGATTGAATAATGCTATCAATTATCCTCTAAATAAATTTTAATTATAATCATGATTACAGAACATTAACATATTTATTAAAAAAAAAATCTGTGAGAGTCTTTTACCAATTCATACATAAGTTATTCAGTTGATTTGTAATTTCAATTGTTTAGTTGTAATTAACTCTAATTATTAAATTAAATGTAATTTATATCCCATTTTATATTTTAAGACATAACTGGCATAATAGTATTTGACATGAAGATGGGTCATCCTTCACCTGTCTGATTGTCGAATGAAAAGGACCATCTTATTTGTATTAAACACCATGTATAAAGAAATCCCATTAATTGTAGCAAATTTTTCCTTTGAATTTCATTAAAAACCCACTTACTTATACGTATATTCATTTATTATTATATTATGTTTATAATTAAATACTTTTATTCTGGTAAGCAGATGGGCTAAGGATGAGCCTACTCCAGATCTTAGACTATAAAAGCTAACTTATATATACAGACACACGCACTCAAACATTCAAACACATGACATTAATATAAAAGGCCAACAACAGCTTTGACAGAATAACATACAAAAAGAACAAATATTTTTACAAGCATGAGAAATACTAGCTTTCTTAGATTTAATTTTGAATTCTCTAAAAAACTATATGATATATGAGAAATACCTACAATGCAAAATAAAGTCATTGATATTCCCGCATTATCGTGAGTTGCATTATACATATGATACTGGCGACGACACATTAGTAAGCAATTGTTTGCGAGCTGCATACGAATCGCATATAGTATGCATGGTGCAGTATGATTTATTATTAAAGAGAAAATCACTGGATGATGATGATTTTTCAAAAAGCAAACAACAGTTTAACAACTATTTCTTATAAACTATATAAGGTAAACTGCATAGTTTTTTCAGGAATATAAATAAATAAATAATAAATATGTTGGGACATTAACACACTGCAGTCAGCACCATCTAGTTCCATGGTAAGCTACAAGGCCTGTGTTATGGATACCAGATAGTTGATACACTACACATACCTATATAACTTTAAATACATACATATTATAAATATAAACACCCATGACTGGAATACAAACATTGGTGCTCATCACACAAATGAATGCCCCCAGCGGGACTCGAACCCGCAACCGGTGCCACAGCAAGTAGGGTCACTACAAACTGAGCCAAACGTGTCGTCAAATATAAATTCAAAAGATTCTTTTGAAAAAGAATGCGTTGGAAATCGCGTGTTTTACTCTAACACGGGCCATAGGTACGTTTTTATTGGCCACAAGACAGGCGGGTGCCCCCATCGGGCGAAGATGAAGCTGTCAGCTATGAATCAATCCATTATTTCTGTCTAGCACAAAATAGATATAGGAATTTCTATATTGTTTGTATACTTCCTAAGTAACAAGCACTTACACACGCTTTATATTTTATCATCTTGCTCTACAACTTAACATAAGATCGTAGGGGAATGTTGAAAGATTACAAAACATAGAATTTTGTTCCTTGTAAATTATTAAAATTCACTAATAGATAACAAAAACAAAAAACAAGTAGGGAAATTAAATGAAAAATTTTAAACGATGATTACTGATGCTCAAAAAAAAATTCCATGAAAACCTTTACAGCAAACAAATATTAATTTAATTAAAATAATTCTAAAATATTACGTGAATGGAAAATAGAATTACGAAAAAGTATTTTAGTTTAATATAATTTCTGAATAATAAGAACGAATTAAGTTAGGAAAACTTATCGAAGGGTTTACTTTCTTATACGACTGTAAAGACCTTGCTCTGTCTAAACCGGTTCCGGACCTCTTCATTACGAGCGATCGAACTCATCGTAAGATACCACGGCTGTATTTCATTGATTCCTCATGGAAATATCACGATTCGTATATTACATGGTGAATTCTTAATTAAGAAAACCTCCTTTCAGAATAAACAATATATGTTGAAATATTAAATTCTAGATCTTCTATATAACTCATAAGTATATCGTAATAAATAAGTATAAAAATATATATGTATTATCAAGCTGTAAGATCTTGTACTCGGAGGCCTTATTTATGAACCGGTATTCTAAGAAGTGTAAACCTAAATCGCAAAGTCCACTTTACTACTTGGAAGACAGAAAGGGCAAAAACTTGACAAAATTATTTTTAGATTAATACTCTGAAAAGCTACAAGGCACCTCAGCCTCTAACTGTAAAAGATTTTGCCGTGTAATGATTATTTTTATTTTAAATTTTATGTTGATTGATGATATTACAATGTAAGTAACTTTTAAAAAAGAAAATGTTGGTAAAAATATCATGAGACATTGTGTATTATATAGACAAATGCAAATTAAAAGACTTAAATTTGTAGAGGATGTCATAAAAATAAATATTTTTATTAATATGTTGCTGGCATTCCATCCTGCTTATTTGTAACGCTACTGACAGACGATTAGTGTTGCGCCCGGAATTAGCCACTCGAGACATCCTCTTTGCCTCTTAAACGCTCGACTCTTTGATTATATTCTTTTTAGATCAAATGAGTTGGGAGATGTGAGAAAGCGAGATGTATATTCATCTGTTTGACATGTCGCGTTACAGCTTTAGATCAATCGACAAAGCACAGCGACAGGAACAATCCTGCATTTGTCACCGGACCACCGGCGCCGCTGTATTTATAGCGAACGACGCCTGCGCATGCGCATGCGCCCGTGGGCGGCTAGAGCTTCTCCAACAAAATAGTCTGGATATCAAATTAACTACTACACAAGCACACTCATAAACACATACACACACCATATTAACCAATAATAATATATAACACTCTAGCCCTTGAAAACCCTCCCTTAAAATTAATATTAAATTATTAAAATACTGCTTTATACATATGTACATGAACTTAATATATAGATAGTTTAACATATGAGGTAGACCTCGAAGGTTATTGTCACGAGTTGTACAATATAAATACGCATAATAAAACTAGTAGACTCGATGATGCAGCAACAGAAGTGGTGGCTGAGGGCAATTCTTGGTGGTGTTTTTTATGCTTCTCCTCGTATCCTTTCTCGTGGGTCTTCGTATGATTTTTAAGATGTTTATGAAAACAAAGTCTCGCGAGATTATTTTGCATCCTTGGACAGTCATAATCTTCGTTGCCGTCACAATGACAAGCCGTCAAGGCAGCTGCTTTGTCTTGCTTTCTCAATATTTCTATTGAATTTCGACACTTGTTAGAGCACTTTCTGCCGCGGTACATTGATCTGCATAGTTGGTGATAGTAATCTAAAGCTGTGGCACACTGTGCATCCGCAAGGCATATGAGTTGGGACAGACGGCATGAAGACGTCGCGTTGGCCGCACCTCTTAGCACCTGTGGCCGACATACATCGATTCTCTGCTTGGCTTCAACACAATATTCATCCTCGCATTGACACTGCAACAATAATAAAACTTATTAGCTATTTAATTTACACTTTTTTGGGATATTTTTTCGTTTTTAATGTGCCGTCTATCATAAACTTACGGGAAAACTCGTAAATGCACCGTATATATGCCTCGTACAATAATAACATTTTTGATTCATAAAATATTTTACGACGCCAGCAACGTTCTGATTTACAAAAATATGAGCCAGGAAGCCGACAGCTCTATGAAAGTGCGATGAAATTACAGTAAATAATGTATGTTATAAAAATATTTAATATATTATATTAAGATTAATAAACCATTAATCTTTATTCAGCCACTTAGATTCAAAGATATCTACTCTGTAACGATCTATATCACTGTATTAGTTCTGCTCAGATAAACAGATGACGGGTAACAGTGATAAAACTGACAATTTGAATAATATATTGCGAGCTAAATTGAATATTTTGCATAACTAGCGCTAGCAACTTCACTCATAAATTATTTATAGGAACGTTTTGGAAGACATACAACAATTTAAGTCATTTGATCATGACATTCGCTATGAAGCTAATTAACAGTTTGTGATGGAAACGTTTAATTAAAGGTCAATTTATGGTCCTGTTTGCGATGGTACAGATAAATAAAAGAGTAGCCTCCGTCTTACGCTGTATTTTTTGTGGGGAGGCAACACCTGCACAAGAACGAGCGCTGCGGTAGGTCCCGATATAGACGTCAAATCTCAAGGCTGTGCGGCCGCTCGGGCCTGCCCTTCCTTTCGATACACATTGCTCAACAGCAAACCATAATCACACCGTTACAACGACATAATCAATACAACCGGTTCTTCATCAAAGCGTTTCCTTAAAAATAGGACGGAATTCCTCTTTAAATTTACTTGTAAAAAGTAAATATCGAAATCAATTAGCATGTAAATGAGAATATGTTAATTAAAATTCTCATGTTAACTATAAATATTGATAGTATCAATCAAGTTATAAAAGACGTTTATATCATTGAAATAATTAAGTAATATTGAATATAAAAAAATATTCCTACCTATGTTATAAAGAATTTATATTTGTAAAAATAATCTCAATTATAGTCAAAGTCTATTTATGTATATATAAAACACAGATAATTAAAAGATAAATCATGTTCTTAATTGAATAGCTAATTGAAATTTGCACAATATACACGTAATTACAATTTACGCGATCAAGAATTACAGTGCCAATACTGGAGGTCCAACAGTTGTCATTCCCAAATACATATCTATATAGACATTATTACTTTTTATATAGAGAAAGTTTAATGACTCTACCGAGCACCTGCTGATCGCTCGTGAAATAACATATTTACATTCAATTGTAAAGGTCACATTGCACTCCCGATCTCACTCACAGCTACGGATAAAAGTAATAAAATATATAGTTTATTATTATAAGCAGGTACGATTTTGTAGCTCACATCGGAATTAGAAGCTTATAATGTAGGTAATTGCCTATATTCTTTTTAAATACATTTTTATCCATAACTATATTTGATAAGAAATTAAAATGTAATAAAATGAACGCATTCAATTTATTATCAATATTTTTAAAGAAACTTTATTAAAGGTCGACAACCGCGACCCTCGACTATGGTGATGCGTCGTGTCCGACAAATCTGACGTCTAAATTAGATTTTATTGCGGGCGTCTGTAGTCTGTATAGAACAACACCATTCTAAAAAGATCTTTAAAGCTCCATAAAGAATGATGAGAATCAAGGACCAATTAAATAAACTCGACCAAATAGCAGCTCCTATTAATTTGGACGTCTTCCTCAATTGAGAAAGACATTGTAAACAAGTGATGATGAAAAGTTATTGTGGCAACTGCGACCTTTGCTACTACCACAATTTATTAAGCAGAATTCGCTTTGTGGCTCTTAAAATTTTATAATATCTTTATGCATTGTTATTTGTCAATAACAGCTGTTTTACAGATCTATATGCTACTAGCATTGCCCGCGGCTCCACCCGCGTTCTGATGACCAAAAACCAAATTGTTAGGTTTTACATATTAGTGTATTCTTTCATTGCAGTTTTTGTATTTTTTCTTAAAAATTAGATATTCCGCGGTAAGAAGTATCCTATATGTTGACCCGGATAACCAGCTATCACCATACCAAATTTCATCAAAATCCCTCCAGTGGTTTTTCTGTGATGCGGTAACAGACATACAGACAAAAATTCTAATAACTATAGATTCGGTCTCTGTATCGATAATAATGTTTATTTCAATAAGATTTTCCAAAAAATATTTAATGTACAGATTAGGCTTAGTTACAATTTTATTATATGTATAGATTTAGACAAACTCTGCCCATGAATTATACAGGTGGAACACGATGGGACATGGAAGAAAATAATAATAACTGTATTTATTTATTTTTTTAAATCTTATAAAAAGATAATAAATAGCTTAGGTTGTGACGTTAGTTAGGATTGATATGTACTCTTTGTAAGATTTCGTCGTTTCATTAATTGTAACATACAATTTTCATACGAGACGTTTCATCCTTACCATAGACTCTATCCATTAATTCGATGAAATAGTGATGTACCTTTTTGCGTTTACAGTTGGTTCGATTACCGGTTCAGATCACGTCTTTAAAAAAAAGTTATTATTATTTTTAAAAATAAAAGAAATATTTCCTTTGAGTCAATTTTTATAACTTCAATATTTAAGATACTTTTCTTTCTTGTCCCATCGATTTGTTCCAGCCTGTATATTGCATAATTAAATCGAATATCGATATTTCTATTGGTGGCAACTTAAATAATTTACAATTTATATTAAAAAAACATAAATATAAGTTTATACTAACATTCATAAGCTCTTTCCCCTCTTCAGTAGATGTCAACGCAATCAGTGCATGTTCGCACGCCTTCGGACACACGGTGGCAGGCTTGGAGAGCACCTCGTCGCATAGATACATGTAGTTGGAGAGGGCAGCACCACAGCCCGTACGGTAGGCGCACCGCATGCGCGCCTGTTCGCAGGGGGTCCCACTGGCCGCCACTGACAGGCTAAGCACAGCCACTAGCAACCACATTACCTGGAATTAAATTATTTATTGCATAAATTTGTTTATTTGTATAAAATATTGAGACAAATATAGCTAATGTGTTAAGTATATAGAAATTCGCAGTGCTTTGTATTTCGTCTTCTTTGAATGCCTTGTAAGCATAACACAGGTATAAAAAGGAATTCCCTTCTTTAAGAGTGTTAGAAATAAGTCTTCAACATGATAAAAGTTCTGCTAAACGCTGTAATAACAACCAATTCGAATCCAACTCAACGGAGCACAATTGAAAACGCAGAAGATTACAATGAGCAAGTGTAAGTTAGATGGTTCTGGATGATCTGGTTCATTAAGGTACTGTCATTATTCCTCTCGTAGGTAGTCTAGTAAGTCAGAAATCCAACGATAAAAATTCACGTACAAAATAAAGTTAGCAAACGGTAATTTTGAATATTCAACGTTTGACTGAGTCTATTAAATAGCTTAAAAGGTACTTTTGCACAGCAAATGAGCTGTTAAAATAAGAACCGCCTTTTCTATGTAGGTACTTGCGATTGTTTTAAACAACACTTATTTAATATGAAGCCTATGTTCAAGTGAGACAAATTGATAAATCTTGTATTAAATTATTTATAGTCGCTACATATGGCAAGATAACACTTAAAATAACCAGTCTTTAAATATTCCTACACGGCCGGTGTATATAACTTAGTACGTACAATAATTTCTCGCTACTCAGTGCGCTTATTCATTGCAATGAAACGTCGTTAACCTCCAATCGCACGAGCAATCAACACATTTAATCTCGCGAACTCCATTCCATTCACAAACACCAATCATTAACATCTTGATTACTGTCTTTCATATTATGCATTATGCATACTTGTGGATATTGTTAAGAAATACCTACCTATTACATAAGTTTGAGCTATCAAAAGTGCATTTTAAATGCAATTTATTGTACAAGTAATTGCGCATGGCATAAAGAAATGAGAGTTTATCAGATTTTTTATATGAAAATATTATTATATCGTCTTCACATTATTTATATTTTATATCATACTAGCGACTCACCCTCGCTCCGCTCGGGTTCGTCCCTACTTACGTTTTAACTTTTAGTATAGATTTCTCAGAGATGAGATATTTTCCCGCAGTAAAAAGTTATATATATAATAGTATATGTTGACCCGGATAACCAGCTATCATCATACAAAATTTCAACAAAATCTATCCAGTGGTTTTCCCGTGATGCGGTAACAGACAGACAGACAGACAAAAATTCTAAAAACTATAGATTCGGCTTCTGTATCAATAAAAATATCTATTTCAATAAGATTTTCCAAAAAATATTTAATGTACAGATTCGGCTTAGTTACAATTTAATATATGTAGGTATAGATTTGTGCTTGCAGCTTCGCTAGGGTATTTCAGACTATAATATATACATACATGCGACATAAATACAACAGTTAGTATATGTGTGTGTGTGTACTTGATACATTTTCACATCGAATCGGCTAAATGAATTTGGACCTGGAGTTGCACATAGGCTTCAGTCAGATATCTAAGGATGCATTAGAGCGAAGCGAGAACAAGTCGCTAGTATTTCCGTTTTAACCATACAACACATACAACCAGACCACAACAACCACGGGGTTGCTCCAAGGTCCACTCTGCTATCAGAGAAGTACCAGGAGCAACCCGCATGGTACACCGCCCTCCGAAGAGGGCCACCTCCCACCGCCCACCGAAGTGGGCCACCTCCCTGTGCGTTTCTTGGCTTCGCGCCCGGTTGGGTTGCCGGGCACTACTGAGCCCCCCCACCACGACAAGGTGAACGCACGTTGGGGCAAGCCCTGACCCAACAAAAGGTTCATAAAGATTTTAATATAACATAATTATTAAACTATATTTTAATTAATTAATATTTTAAACTAATTTACGTTAACAATGTACGAATAATCTGTCATATCCCTATCAGTATTGCAACACAACGTTTACTCGACTTCGGCCTTAGTTGGTAATCCTTCACTGATCCCGGGGCCTTCTCGGAAGCTGAGTAAACAAACAGGACCGCGTCACGCACTTCTCACTTGCTACTAACTTACACGGTTACCGTAAACTTTCAGGGTTGCCACTAATAGAAAAAACTATTATATTAGAAAAAGACAAATGATATTGAAAATTATTTAGAGTTCACTTACAATATTAATTTTTAAATTTAATCATGTGAATCATAAAATCAATAGTATCAATATATCTATTAAAGAAAAATAAATATATTATATAAATATTCATTGTAGTCAAAAATCGTAGTTTTCTTAATCCGTTAAATATTACAGATTAAGAATTTTTTTTCGTCAGCCCTTATAAAGAAACGCAGGTCGTCGTCCGGTGGAGGACCCAATAGCAAAAGAAAACAAAATGACAAGTTAAGATGCCCCACTCGCCTCCACTGTTACATTACAATAACAATCGGTACCTGCGCTTCACATACTCGTAGCTTCCCTAGCTCTTATGCCTTTTGAATACGAACTAATAAATATTTTGTACGTCTTACGGTAGCTTCGAGATAAAGACACGAACGTGTCTCTTATTTAGTTTCTTAATTAAATTGTATTTTAAGCAAGTTTATTCTAAAGTAGAAAAAAAATATAGAAGTAGATTTTACTTTAGTTAAAACTCGTGACTTGCAAGTTATATCGAATAACTTTCGGTAGCGAATCAAAATTTCGGGGAAGTGACCGATGTCGTGCGGCAAGGAAAAAATTTAGAATTCTTTTTAGTTTCAAACGTCGAGCCGACAGTAATAACTATCTAAATAGAGGTGGGGAAGTATCTCCGCGACATTTCCACACTCAAATAGCAGACAGTTAGCATGTAAGTGTGAAAAGCTGGAATAATTGCTGGCACTCCGTCAACATAGAGGGTGTCTTGTTTTAATAACTTATTTTAAAGGCATCTAAACGGTAAATATTTTTGACTTAAAACGAAAGTTAGTTTTAATATAAAATAAAAATCTATTTAATTTCACGTCCCACCTAACCATACTCTTTGATATTTGCGTGTCGGTTTTAATTTGATTGAAATTTGAAACGTATACGAGTTTGTAAGGTTTTAAAACTTAAAATATATATTCAAAAATCACAACTTCAACACATATTTCCACTTTACTTCATTCCACAGTCTTCATACAAAAGTAGAAAACGAAAGCCGGTGCAGCACAGCACAATAGTGATGCGTGCTAAGCAGCAAGTCAAATAAGCGTATTCCCGCGCGCCTCATTATAGCGTGTCGTTAAGCGATAATTGATTAGGTAAACTGAAGACTGTCAGGTACCACTTCAGCTACCTGTTATGCGCTTATACTAACAGTAATATAATGAATTTCCATTATTATATTTATTAGAAAAAGTAGATGGGTAGAAAATCGAATAACTTTAGATATTTACTGTATTTATTAGGTACTCTTATTACGCTGTATAATCACACTGGATGCACCTTTGACCACCTGATGGAACTTTTAAGCATTATTTATATTATTAGTGATGATGTTCTCCTGACCGATTCCGGCTACGGCGGCCAATCTCATTGAGACTAGCCAACTGCGCAGGAGATATTATAGTACACAAGTGTATGCGCAGACACAAGTGCACTCTCTATTCCTGTCACTCTCATACTCTGGTGGGACGACCACTCCACACGACCAGAGAGAGTTAAGGCGCAGGACCGACGGCTTTACGTGCTCTGCCGGGGCACGGGGGTGAAACACCGCCAACTTCTCAACTCCGGGCTGTTACTGAGACTTACTATACAGAAAGACTCAATAACTAAACTTGGCCCGACCCGGGACTCGAACCCAGGACCTCCGAGTGTGCAGCTGTACATGCTAGCCACTACACCACCGAGGCAGTTATATATTATTATGTGTCATATTATTAGTACTAAATAATCGATAAATTTTTTTAATACCAACTGAAAACAATAAATTACCATAAATAATATGTACCTACTCTATATCTTCATACATCTTCAGGGCCGCACTATTGACTCTACTAAGCTAATGTATATTAACAGATTTACCACATTTAATTATAAGTTCTATTTATTTAATATTGTGGTAAATTAAGTTCCTAACACTAATCCTTTTATTTAAAACACATGTCTTAGCTGGACACTCGTGCCTTCTTACACTTGAGTACACACTTAAAAAATATATGTATGTTTCACCGGAAAGATACAGTGATAAAATCTATAACCTATGAAATACAGAAACGATAATAAATAAAACTTATTAAATTTTCTAAATTAATTTTCATTTTCTCCACATGCCATTCTTTAGCCATTTACGCCATTCTTTATTATTTCTTGCCTGATGGACGGAAAGATATTATTATGTAATAATACGTAATATGTCAATATTTACTGTTTTTGTGTACCATTGGGCCATAGACTATGATGGCCAACGCTAAACAATTTTTTATTTGAAAATAGAACCTGTTAACTCCAGTTTAGTAGTCAATGCCAGACACATTCACTGCTGACCGGCGATAGTTGTGTTTAAATTAAATATTGTCCAAGTTTAATATCAGCGTAATAAAATTTAGACGAGAAGTGAAATAAAAAATAGTTATTAATAGTAATGAAAATATCATCGTAAACAAAAGAATCTAAAAAGAAGTCCATCTGTTCTTTGTAACGGTATGAAAACTTGACATCGATTTACGATTCCAGTCGGAGTTATAAATTACAAGCTTTTATGTTTAGAAAGTTGAAATAGTAACATTACAGCACAGAAGATTCCCTCGAGCATGGTCTTTTTGACTATGGCATTTAATCTTTTCTAAAAACTAATTATTCTTATCTCTACATTAATGAATTATGCTTCTCTTAAAGATTGACTCAGATAATCTTAATTTTATTTAAAACTAGAATGGCCCGCGGCTCCGCCCGCGTTCTGATGATCATAAGCCAAATTCTTAGGCTTTACATATTAGTATACTCTTACATTGCAATTTTTGTATTTTTTCT